GCCTGAAAATAATCGTCATAGACTTAGAATACTTTTTCAAGTGTTTCGTAGTTCTATCTACGAAACCTAAAAGGGTTCAGAGAATTGAAACGAAATCGAAATCCTTTTAGGTTCCGTACTATGCACGAAACCTTTTTTAGTCCAAAACACCCTTTTGGGTTCGGTGTCGTACCATTTTTTTTCAGTGCAAGTTATGCAAAAAGTTTGGTAAAACCAAAAACACGAATGGTAAGATATAATATTAGAAGACAATGTATTCTCGCTTCAATATAGATCTATATCTTTAAAGAAAACTTTCTAACTATTTTCTTTGATGCTCTGAGCAAGGATATCTTTGAACTGACAAAATAACACTTGTTTATCTAGGAAAAGATAATGTATGGTGTGGAACAGGAATGACCACAATTTCTTTAGACAAAATTAAACTTTACAAAGGTAATAGTGACGTTCACATACAGGCGGAGGATCAAGAATTGATAATTTCCTCACAAGCTCAACCTGATTGGTATAAAACTCGACAACAACAATTCAGTAAACATCAACAGTGTTTACAGAATCTGATGCTTTCATGCATTTATCTTTGTCAAAATGATAATTCTCTGAACAATATTGAGCTATTGTGTATTTTGCTTGAAAAATTAGGAGTAAATCTTCTACCAGCTGAAGTTTCAGGAGTAACTTATCGTAATGATACAGCTGCGTTATGTTTTGTACAACATATTGCTACTGTTTTACATCAAGAATTAGTTGAGAAAATGAAGAATAGTACTGCTCTGGGTATGTTGTCTTTAGATACCTCTGGCTAATATTAATCTTGATTTTCTTGTATAACAGGCTGGATGTTGGATGAATCAACATCCAGAACTAATGAAAAATCCTGTATCATTTATGCCCGTTATATTGAAAATTATGAACCTAAAACAGCGTATTATGGGCTGTTAAACTTGGATGGTGATGGTAGTGCTGGTAATATTATTAAAGCATTAACCAGTATGTGGGAGAAAGATGGTCTTCATCCAATTAACTTCTGTTGGTTAGCCACGGATAATGCAGCAACGTTCACTGGTAAGTGCCATGCTACTTTATAATTGAGTCTTTTACAATGCAATGAATTGTTTTAGGCATCACGAAGGTGTTATTGCAAAACTCAAGCGTCATTTATCTGCAGAATGGTTAGAATCAACTCCATGTGTTACTCATTCGTTTACAGTTGTTGGTAGTGAAGCATCTTATTTACAAAGGTCTATTGGTACGTAATTTTTGTATCTAAACTTCAAAATTTAAGTGTTGTTTTCAGAAAATCAAAAACCCACTCGTTCTGAATCTGTTGTTAAACTAGAAGCGACGATTACTGACATTTATAATTATTTTGGAAGAAGCAGTAATCGTCAATTTAGATTGAAGTCTTGGCAGGCATTTATGGAAATGCCAGAACTAAAAATGAAAAAAATATTTGGTATTCGATGGTTATCTCTTGGTGGATGTATTAAGCCAATCGTCGATAATGTTTATCCAGGTTTTTAGATATTGAAGAGCCGCAAAAAACTACGATAAAAATTGTTTCATTTAGGTTCACAAGCACTTTTAACTTCCCTTCAACAAATTGTGTTGGACATCGATTCATCTAACATAGAGCGTGAAAATGCTAAAAGATTATTAACCTCGATTTTAGAAGATGAATTTTTATTTCTGTTGCATATGCATCATGATTTACATGAAATCGTATTAAGTAAGCTCCTATATTTGTTAAATATGTCCACGAACAGATCTTTCAATTTTCTTGATATTTTTTTGAAAATCTTAGGTCCTATAACTAAGATTATGCAACACGGCAACCGTTCATATTTTAGTTTGATGGAAACTATAGCTGAAAAAAGGAAAATTTTGAGCTATTGGGCATCTGAATCATCATTGATTATGGGTCCAGCATTAGGTGATTACATCGAATCTACAGAATTAGGATCTTTTGGTGGATTTAAAATCAAATTAGGTGATAGAAAAACGTTTCGAAAAGATTGTCGTGAACATGTAGACCGATTGATTCAACAATTAGATAAACGTTTTAAGCCTTCTATGGTACAAGAAAGCTTATCTACAGGGCGTTCCAAAAGTCCGGTCGAAAAAAAAATGTAAATATCTTCATCATTGCTTAACTAAACTTCAAAGTTCTTTTGTCTGCTGAATAGAGGAATATTCAAAGTTTTCTTTGACATAATTGGAAGTTTTCATATGAAAAAAAGTCAATGTAAAAAAATAATAAAACTTAAGAGGCACGTTTTCGGTATGTGTACCTACGATAGTGAGTAAACACTATTGAGCTGTTTGTGATTGAAAAAAATCTTTGCTAAAAGCCTGCTACGTCTCATTTTGTAGAGCTCAGCTTGTTCTATAATTCCACATATTCAACCGCTTTGCTTTACTTAAAGTTATGTCACAAGTAAATCATTTTTCTAAACTAACGTTCCCTGGACCCTCTGGATTCTATGACAGCCTCCTAAAACTTTTTACAGACTACGAATCCATTTCGCTCCATAGGGCTATCATCTTTGGATGGATCTGCATTAGTATTTTTTCATTTTATTAGTTAATTGTATCTGAAAAACACTTTTATTACATCTTTTGCACTTTCTTAGATGCTAGTATGAAAAATCCGCCGTTGGAGATATCCATACTATCCAGTTATGTTTGAGCAAAACCAAATAATAATTTTTTTATGTGAAAGAGAAACTCATCTATATTATTTCAATATTAGATAATATTTATATCTCCTTGAAACAGGTTTGCAGTACCTCATTTATTAAACAATGTTGCAAAAAACCTGAATCTCATCATAATAAACCTGATAGTTTTTTTTACAAGCCTCAACAAAAATTTCCAAGCATACCAAAAAACACTTTGAACATTCCTCTGTCCAACAGGAAAATGAATCTTGAAGGTTAGTTAAGCAATGATGAAGATATTTATATTTTTTTTTCGACCGGACTTTTGGAACACCCTGTAGATCAAGATGATTTCCGAGGAAAACACGATAAAGGAAGTTAATTGTAAACTTTTCAGATCTTATTGATTTTACTTGATTTTTTTAATGATATATAACCTGATAGAAATCGAGTTCAAATCATATTACTTTGATTAATTATTCAGTGAACAAAAAACAGATTAATGTCATAGTCATTTTTCCTTTTTTCTTGAGATTGTCTCTCATGACTCATCGGTTTATGCGCATGGTGTAATCAAAGAAAAGCAACGGACAAAAATCAAACAGAAAGAAAATGTGAATACAGCTCCTATTTACCGCTGTTTAAGAGGATGAAATAATAGGTACGGGTATACGATTTAACAATGGTTAATGTGTTATAATAAAAAAATACAAACGTATTCATGCGCAAAAACTACAAGCAAAAAGCTATCGTATGACGATCGAATTGATAAAAAAATATGCTTTTCACTTGTATTACAATCTTTGAATTTAGCATAACTCATGATTGTCGATAGTTTTCATGGAGCAATTTCTTCAATATTTTAGATATCATTTAAATTAAACATTTAATTATATAGATAGGATTTGAAGCTTACTGATACCATACAAGTCTTATATTCTCATAAAAAAATCTACATATAATAAGGTAAATAGTAATGTATTGATTTAATGTCTTCTAAGTGCATGTTATTAACTATATTTCTAACTCAGGTCGGACTATTCGTATGTAAGACTTTATACATTTCAGACATAATTTTCACATCCGCCTCACGATATGATCAACTATGATCAAACAATTTTAGTAGACACGATAACGGCTAACACGATGTTTAAACATCTCGATATGTAAATTGTGAAAAATGTTTTTTTAGTCGTCAAATAGGCATTAAAACGGTTTAAGGTTAATAATTTGTTTTACACGTTTTTTATGTTAAAACGTTCACTGTTGTGGGAACTTTCACCGTTTTAACGCTTTTTTTTGCGAATAATGATACATTTTTAATGATTTCAATAATTTTAATGAATACACCTTGTAATAATTATCAAGTATATCATGTCGATGATGAAAATTATAGAAATTACAGCAGCTTTCAATTTCATTCTATTTTAATTGAAATTGCTGACGTTTCGATATATCAACTGTCATTATCAAGACAGATTCTTGTAATTCACATGACAGAAAAAAATATATACATATGAATTAAAGAACAAAAAAGTAATCATCTGTATGTTTCTCCAGTCGAAAATCCCACAGATACCTCTGCTATGGTTGGGGGCAATGTTATGAGCGCTCATAACGTTGATATTTTCCCCATGCTAGTGGATAATTCACTGATTTAGTCTTGACCTTAGGTTTGTTTTTATTGTAATCCTTTTGGATAGATGATTAGTGGCATAGAACAAATTGTTTTGTTTAGTAAAGACTGACGATCAGCTATAGCTAATGATTTCCTAAATAATAAACGATAATGTTTTGTATCTCAGGTTATAGTTTTTTAGTCATTCCAATTAATTTTATAATTAGTTATAAATTCCTGCTTTCTTATAGCAGATTTAATTTCTTTTATTTGTTTCTTCAAGTTATCTTTTTTCATCTAGTGAAAAATATATTATAATTTTTTCTTTATTTCTTTATGATTTACGTAAATTATCTGAATTATGAATCATTTTTGAAGATAGTAGTTTTTTATTCATCAATAGTTTTATATTAGCTCCATCTTCATTAAACCATCTAGTTGCTTGTTATACAGTTGTTGCCTATGTATGAAGATTTACAATTATAACAATCAATCATATAGACAATGTTGGATTCTTGTTTTTCACGTATTTTATTTTTTAGTGGAAAAAATTTAGATATTGCTTGTGATGGTAAAGGCATAGGCTGAACATTTATTTCCGTATTAAAATATTTCACGAGATTAATTATAAGTTTTCCGAATATTTCGGTTGATTTACCAAAGAATGGGATATTGATGAATATTTTTTTTTTTATTGATTCATTAGGTTTAATGTTTGTTTTCTTTTGAGACGAGTATATTCGAGTTCTATTTATTTTATTATAATATCTAGCTAAAGTTTTTCTGGTTTTCGCAAATACGAAATTGTTTTTGGATATATATTTTTTATTTCATTTAGTTATTAAACTTATATTGGTAAACGTTCTATAGATAGTAGTGAGGAAGGAATTTGAGAATTGCGAAGATTTATTCGTTGGTGTACGAGTGATAAGAATATCAAAGAGATGAAAGTGAGCTATTATTTTCTTCTTCATTAGTGAAAATTATATCTGGATCAAAAGTGTTAACAATTACAATTATGTTGTTAATATTAACATTTTTATCTATGATAGAAAAATGTATCATCAACAAGCCTTCTCAAAGATAGAAAGTCATTTCTTTCCAAGTACTCCAAATGATTACTCTATATGTATAAAGTGAGTTTCTTTAGTTGATGTTTCTGATAAGTATCTCATTTCATATCTATTTTTTGCAAGTTTGGCGGCAATTTTCAATTTTTCTAGCCTTATTGGTACATTTATGTTCAGGTGTATATAATTTTTTTAGTATAAATTCAATATTGCGTAGTAAAGGAACTTTTGTAGATAAGTCAGCAATGTCGAAAAATATCCATTTTCATGTGAGTAATATCAAAATGTAATGAATCAAGTTCTGTAACAAGAGAAAATGTATTAGTTATTGCTGTATGTTCCTGAAGCTGATACAGTAGGTCGAACTGTTAAATCCAATTTATAAAATTTTTTGTTTCTTAATCGTTTTAGTTAATTTATTTTCTTATGAAATAGTTAAGCCATGTTCTAGTTGCTTGAATATGCTTTTATCATTTAGAATATCATGCATTTTATTATTATAATCTACTCTATGCATAATTGTTATGCTTTTAGTCCTATCTGATTTTATTATTTGTTAATGCTTATTTGATTTCTTTAGTTTTCGATGATGCTTATCAGTTATTTTATTAGCATTAGAATGAAAATTATTACAAAAGTAATTGTATTTTATTAGCATATTGTGATTATGCTAATATTAAATTATACCTTAGTTGTTCATCAGAATCGTTTTTGAAATAGCCTCTTTTGTCATTAGAAAAGCCTAATAGATGTACGAAATATGTTTTCATATTATTTATAAATCACATTTCATCAAATTTATTATTTAGATACATATATTGTAAACTGTTTTGTAGTACTTTTATTTCTACCGTGGTTAAAATCTTTCTTGAAATTTTTTTTATTCGTAAAATATCCTATTTAGTTATATTAGGTAATGACGATTGCTGAAAATCTCTCAATCTATCTAGTTTTTTTTTACGTGAGTATTACTAGTTTTAACTTTTTCTGTGCCACTATTTCATCTATATTTCTATTTAGTCTACATATAGTTAAATGACTTAAGTCAAGATTGATCAATGAAACAAAGGTTTCTCGAAAGTCAATCCGAACAGGTTAACTGACGGTTTTTTTATTTTTATTGTATTTACAAAATTTGTTCGTAATAATCGTTTATCACTTGTTGGCGATGTAGATGCGCCGACGAGATTTTAAATTGTACGAATTTCGAGATCAAATTCTCCTGTTTTTTTTTTTATACATATTCCATATTGTTGTCTTATGATTTGAAGATAAATTTGATAGCAATGGCAGCAGCTTCCAATTACCTTTTATTTTAACATAATTTATTAATTAATTGATAGATTTATCGATGTTTCGACAGATCAACTGTCATTATCAAGATCGATGTTTATAATTCATATAACAGAAAGAAATATAATATATGCATAAGAATTAAAGAAGGAAAAGTAACCATCTGTATGTTTTTCCAACAAAAATCCCTTACAGATGATTAATTTTATCTTCTTTAATTCATATATATATATTTTTTCTTTGTCTCATGAATCATAAACATATGTCTTGATAATAAATGTTGATCTGTCAAAACATCAACAATTTTAATTAAAATAAAACCTATCAATATATTAATAAATTATATTAAAATAAAATGAAATTTATCTTCAACTTGTTATCCATAAAACAAAAAACTTATGTAAATGATAGATTGACAGGTGTACAAGGTATCCCAAAGACGTTTTTTTCCGTATAACTTCACTATTAATTGACCTTTATCAACCGGATATT